ATCGACAGCTTGACGCATCTCTGCAGGTGACGTGAGCAAGTTATTGTTCAACTCAACAAATCCTACACAGAATTAATTTAAAACTGCAATGGTGAATCTTATTTCATTATCACCGTCTTCCTTTCCATTATCTTGGTGTATGACCTATTTCCATCAGAATGTCAATCGGAGAAGGTTAAAACAATAACACATTAGGCCGATGTCACACGTGTACGTTGATTTTGAACAGCGGTGTCTTGTTTCATTAAAGTTTTGTTCTGTGTTAATTTTTGGATTGTGTTATTGTGTGTTAAAACCAACAAGTACAATAGAATGATGGTACAATGGCCGACATCCCGTGTTTATCAGAAACAAATAGAATAGTGCCACTCAGCAACTTTTTGTCCTGGTAAAAATTCTGAGTCCTGGACAGGGGCCGTCCGGCGTGGAGAGAACCCTGCAATCAGGCACAATCTTGTAAGAAGCTTCGCACTCCACCACTAAGTGTATGTACACTTGAACCACACAACTTTTACACAAATTAAACGCATCACACGAGAGTTACTCACAAAAATTACTAACTTTAATTCTAACAATTGATCCACTGGGGGAATTGTCATCTAACATGATAATAAAACAAAGTATTAGAAATAAGATAGCACATACCTCTGAGTATAACAGACATACAATAAATGGACCATCTGCAAATCACTGTTCTAAGTTTTGAATTCTAACTACTAAGAAGACATGGCATGTTAGTCCATGAAATATCCACAATTCAACAGTTACTATGGCAACAAGGTCTAATTTGCCAATTTGCAAGCTACTAAAAACTGAGTTTTTACAGCTTTTTCCTGTATGTATAAAATTAATGAACACCATTTATAGATGTGGAGTAATTCTGTCAACTGGGAAGTGACAACAAATTTATTTTTTATAATGGGTCTCAGTACGCCTAAAAATGGCAGACAGACCTCATTTCCAAAGTACTGCAGTAAAATGTAATCAAAGAATATATTCAATTTACATAATATTTACTTGAATCATGCTATTTATGTTGTCTACTTGTTCTAAGCCTTTTAACGTGGTAACATCTATGTATTCTACTAAAAGGACAGGAACAGTACAAAACGGGAAGCTATTCTGACCCATGCTAATTCGGCATTCTTTGAAAAAAAAAAGCTCACAAAAAACACATGGATTTATGAGCATGTACAAAATTAACGTCTAAGTTCAACTGCATTCTTTAAATTTTCTTAAAAGGAAAATAAATATTGATTGATATATTGTCAGAATGTTACTTCAACACAAAAGGGGACAAAAAGATACCACAATATCAATCGTTCACCTTATTGCTGTGACATTAGTGGTGTAGTCCGTGTTAATTTACCAGAGTATAGTCTAATACTAGCTTCACAGAAGCGGTGAATACATCACAAAAGACGTGGATCTATCCAGAAGAAAAAGCAAGAGAAAAGAAACAGTGTTAGACAACGAATAAAAATACATGCATCAAAAACAACCAAATTTAAAATAAACTTCTTCTTTGAAAGTATACTTTACATATAGAACAGCAAAAACCAAACACTAACACAGACCAGTAAAAAAAACAAAAGATCATCAGTCATTTTATTCACTTTCAATCGTTTCATCTTCTTCATCAGAGTAAAGTGTACATTAACATCTAAATGAGCCCATGCTGTGCGGATATTATCACTTAATGAATACCTGTAACAAGGGGTGTATCCTGCTGTTGTACTCTCTGCTCTCACTGACACCAAATTTCAATTATTCCAATGTCTTCCTGCTTATTTGTGCGTCAAAAATCACAACATACTCTTGACAGTGACATTTTTAAACAAAAGAATCAATAGTTCCACAGTGTAAACACGAGTGATATTTATGACGTCCACTACGCATCAAAATGCCACTGCCCCCTCAAACAATTCTATTTAAATTACCACAAAAGTGGTTATCTTATATTTTTAAAGGTATCCCCATACAAACATTTCAACAAATATGAATCATCACAACAATAGACAGCTTACAGTGAGTATTGTAATATACCAAAGAATGTACATTTATCATACATGGTATGTGCTGTCCTGTCCCCCACCCCAATCCTAAAGTAAACTCTGATCATGTATGCACAAAGCATATTTTCACTGTGCAGGCTGAATTATACTATTTGTAATCACTGCGTACATTAACAACTTAACCCCTACGGCATTCTTCAATGTTGTTCACACTGTTTATGACCATTGGGTTAACAACTGTAAATTTTGTGTACATGTTTGTGTACAGCTGGCGCTCAACAGTCAAACGAATCACAAGTTGTCAAATACAAATTTACAGCAGTTCGCAGAAGTTGAAAAGTGAACAGTGCAAACTTCCGTACCACATTAGGAATGTACATTTTCATTAATCGCAAGTAATTTTGTTTAACACTTTCTAAAATCGTTACGAACATAGTTTACCAAATGTCAGTCATAATTAAAAAAAATTTTGTTTTAAATCAACTATAAACTTCTACCAACAGAACACATTACGTCTGTGTGTTTGCAGTACGCTTGTAGCATACATGCATATAACAGGAAATGTAGTTCCAAAGGCAATCATGAAACCTATTCCAAAATTATCCGTATTTCTCCCACAGCACGTACTGATCATGAAACCATGTATGATAAATAGGTTAATTCCACGATTACCCCCTAATATCATGTCATTTTACTAACATGATCTTGACAACATACAAAGATCAGTTGTAAATATCATACGATACGAGGGGGGTTTGTGTAATTACATTTAAGTATTTATTAGGAGTCTTTACTCAACAGGTTTTTACAATTACATACTAAAGTGCACTGTTGTTTACTAACAGGAAATAACAGAGAAAAATGCACCTTGTTTGGCCTCTTCTGTCAGTTCAAAACATAGTTCTTACAAATGTTGTAGAGGAAGAATACATTTAAAATAAAACACAGAAAAAAAAATTGAAGATGAACTCTGTAGGCACGGCTGTAAAATAACAGTAATACGTGATGTAAGAAATGTCCACTTACCTGCAGAACAGTGTGTAGCTGTCTACACATTATTAATATACAACACTCACCTGTTTTCAGAAGATCAGTCACCTTCGTTTCTGTTTGTTCTCTCTTCTACCATGTCCATGTCTTCTGTTGCAGAATCCAGTCTTTTGTCTTTTCTTCTTGGGCTTGAACTTCTCTCTGTCACAACAATCAGACAATACAATGACTAGCAGTTAATGATTCATGATAAACAAGGGTGCAATCCAATATGATAACTGCCGAGATGGGAACCAAACTAATATCATGCACACCAAACAATAGTTTCCAACTGAATTGTGCAAGTTCTTAGCCTGGTAGACTGGCAAAGTCCGGACTCCATTTTTGTTTTACATAAAAAAAATATAATTGTCAATTTTCTATTTTTAGCTTGATCACGAAAACTTGCGTGACCGCGAAAGAAATCCCGGCTGGACGCATCTGCTGGCGACCCCCTGTGCTGGAGTGAAAAAACTGAGCAGAATCACTCAGGTGATTATGGTAATTAAAAGCTGTTGACTAGCATTGACAACGAATCAGAGTGAAGCTGTTAATGTACGTGACCTTTCACTTCTGAGGTCCCGGCGATTTTGAATGACTTGTCTTTGGTAAACATGGATGAAAGTATCGCCTTCGCACTTAGAAAGTTAAAGTATCCATCTCTGCCATCGAATCAACCTTTAAAAGGTCACGTTTACTTTCATACACCCACTCATGAATAATTAATAACAGTCAAATGCCCACAGATACGCCCAGTCGGGATTTCTTTAGCGGTCAGGTTAGTTTTTGCGATCACGCTAACAGAACTAAAAGAACAATCAAGTATTTTTTTTTTGTAAAACAAAAAAGAAGTCCCAACTTTGCGAGTCTATTTGCTTGGTTACCTTCCTATAGAGTACACACACTGCAACAAAGCTAGGAGTGAAATACACTGATCTTACAAACTCTTATTAAATTTATTATGCAAATAAGTTACAAGGGTAGTGTCATTATTTTAAGCCTGAGCTGCCTTCAGAAAGTTCTAAATACCCAAAAATTGATCCTGTGAGTCAATAAAAAAAGATTATCAATGACAATGTATTAGTTACAAAAATGATTTGTAGAATTTTGTTGTTTGACAACCCTAAAAATCATGGATTCAGAATACACTAGAGGAACACTTTGGAGAGTTGAGGGGATGGTCTCACCTCTGGTACGTTTACGATCTTCACTGTTTGATCGAGATCTTTTGGATTTACTACGTGACCTATGCCTGTCTCCATCTCTATCTCTATCTCTATCTCTGTCCCTTTCCCTGTCCCTGTCCCTGTCCCTGTCACGGTCCCTGTCTCGACTCCTAGAATGTCTTCTACTGTGTCGGCTCCTGCAAAATGAGACTTTGGGTTAGAACAAACCAGTAATGCTAAGTAATTGTTAATAGATATGCACAGATTAAGTTAGTAATATTTCACACCTTTCCCTACTTCTACTGTGCCTTCTGTCTCTGCTACGACTTCTCTTATCACGAGATCTACTCCTATGACGTCTCCTCTCTCTTGACCTTGAGCGCCTTCTATCTCTTGATCTTGACCGTCTCCTCTCTCTCGATCTTGAGCGCATTCTTTCTCGGTCCTTCCTCCTTTCCCGCTCCCTCTCTTCTTGGCGCTTCCTCCGCTCTTCTCTTTCGCGTGCCCTTTCTGTTTCTCTTGCTTCTCGCTCTTTCTGTCTCATTTCCTCTCTTTCAACATCTATTTTGCGATTTTTGTTCTAGCAGGGAAAAAAATATAAAGTATGGCCTTATTGATCTCGCATCAGATATTCAGATGGTATTCTATATTTCCATATTTAGAGATACATACTGTGAAAGTTTAAATTTGCTACATGTCATTTTAACCCAATACAATGCTTAATTTAGCCAAGGTATCAATCTCATTGTGTGAATATAGCTATATATTGGATTGATGAAAATTAGTTTAGGTAAAATAACATGCTAGCAAAAAAGAAGACCTGTTTCACAGTAATCGCCATACTGCCATATAAACGATGAAAATACCTATGATAAATATTTTAATGTTCAAAGTATGAGTGCATCAAAATTTTACAAAAGTCACAAAAAACTACTTGAGTTCCATTTTCTAAGTTATCATAGAATAAATGATTACCTTGAGTTCTTCGATTGTTGCTTTTATTTTAGCATATCCCATGTGTTGTTTACCCATTAAGTGGTCATCCACCCTGGACTGTGCATCACCCACAATAAGAAATGCTCCACATACATCACATACTTCCATTTGCTTTTCCTGAGCATTCATGTTATTCATTGACTACAGTAGAAAGACAAGGCAAAAATGAGAACAGTAGCACTGTTGAATCTCTTCCATCTCTGACAGTAGAGC